GAGAGTTCCCGTATGCTACCCCTCCCAACTGGCACGGCCTCCCCCATTATCAGCACCTCCCACCAGAGGGGTACCTTTGTTAGAATCAATGAACCTACCTTGACAGATCACTACCACTAAAGTCCATGTTTTATATTAGTGTTCCCTCTTGGTGTTGTACATTCTGTATTTATTTGTTTTTTATATGCTGACTTGTTCAGTAAAAGCTGTATGCCCTTTTGGAGCCCAGGGTAATGAAACCGTGGCCCTTCTCTCCAAGCTTGTGAAAGCACCAGTAGTTCCAGCCAGGAATTGACTTTTCCAGTTTTGGAAGTGAGTGACATGCTCAGTGTCTTACCCCTATAGTTGGCAGGGCCTGGATGTGAAGCCATTTTATTCAGAGTTATGCTTCTCCAGAAACAAGTGGTCAGACAGCAGGGTTGTGAGATTCCCTAGATGCTAACATAAATGTTTCTTTTATGGATGCTGTTTTTAATTTCCACCTGGTGTCTATATCAATGTGTAGCTTAAGATAATATGGATGTACCCTTAATTATTGCCTTAGTTTACTTTGAAGAATCACTTTTGGGCTAGTAGAGAAAGGCTAGTGCATTCTGATATTTGGAATGTGTGTATATAGGTACACATACATATAGGCACATACAAATATATATACATATGTATATTTTTAATACTATAGCATTGTAGAGGGTAAGAATAAAAATTAAATTTGGAAAATTAGATCCATACAATGACATATGACTTCAATGATGGGATAGGGTTAAACCAATAGGGCTTTCTTTTTACGTTTTCCACAGTCACATTCCTGCTGTTGCTATTTGTCTTTAGATGATTAAATTCAATTAGGCTCACAGTGTGTATGTATCTGTTCATTTTTCCCTCTGTGGAGGTAATAGTAAGTTTAAATGTTGATTCAGCTGTGGGAATGTTTTATTGTGGGAGGCATTAACTATTTTCAAAATACTTATTTTCCCAAATATAATAAGTATTTTGTTGATCACATTTGAACTTGAAATACAGTGAGAGGTTATCTAAGACCACATGGTAACTTAGAGAGTTAGCAGCCAGCCAGGCATGGTATCGTGGTGTCCTGTGCTTGTAGTCCCAGCTAAGGCTGAGGCAGGAGCATTACTTGAGCCCAGGAGTTTGAGATAGAGTTTAAAGAAACAGAGTTTCACTGTGTTACACTTGAGCCCATTGTAACACAATGAAACTCTGTCTCTTTGACAACAACAACAACAACAACAACAACAACAAAAATCGGCGAAGGAGGCAGTTGGGAAAGGGTTCAGGAGGCAGAGAAAAGCCACTGGGCATGTGAATGGAAAGAGGTCAGTAAAAGCAGAGATTGAGAACATCAATGAAGGAATTGTAAAGCAAAGTGGCCCATAAAAGCACCCACACATGCCGTAATGTTAGGATATCACTTGTGTATTCTCTTATCTCAGCCCAAGTAGAATGTTTTCTTTCACAAAGCGGTGGCTGAATTTTGTGAGTCAAGAAGACTCTGGAGGAAGCTGGCTTGGAAAACTGGACATAAGATGGAGAGAGTTGGTTAGGAAGAATTTGAAGTGGTGAAACAGTACAGAATGACAAAGGGCTCAAACAAGGACAGTCTCATGAAGTAGATGAGATAACTGGGGAAATGACCGTGATTCCAAGATCTGTCATACCATCATTATGGTATGTTGTCTTACCCAGATGCCTGTGATCTTAGCTCATTATAAGTGATGTTTATGGTGTAGCATTCTAATTGATGCTTGTCTTGAAGCCTTGCAAAGTCTCAAACTTCCTTCCAAATCATTATCAAAAGATTGAATTGTTAGGTTTTAGGTTTTATGTAAAATACAGTGTTAATACATACAGATTTTATTGTAAGTTGCAGTTTATTGTCATCTCTTGTAGCATTCCCCGCTTGCATAACAGGGACTGCTTTCTGGCACCAGGTGCGTCTGATTAGGTTATCCAAGAGAACATAGTGTAAGTACTTCTACCACACCCACTTTATAAACGAGGAGTCTTGAGTTTTTAAAGGGTGAATAACTTGCTTGTGGTCCACAGCTAGTAGGTGGCAAAGCCAGGCCACAAAACCAGCCAAGCTGACTTTGAGCCTGAGCTTTTAATCACCATTCTCTATTGCCCTGGTGAATCCACTTTCTCCAAAGAAAAGATGTGTATGCTGTTAGAGGTATAGCAAGAACTCTGTGCTCCTCTGGGCCCACCTCCTACTCATTAACCTAAAAAGCTTACCATTTGGGGCATGAAACTCTGGTAGAAATGCGGTGTAAAAAGCTCATTTCTTTTGAGCTTCAAGTTACATGCTCTTATTATTTCCTACAAGGGTGAATGGCTTGCAGGCATAGCCTTTCCCATCCCAGCGCCCTAGGTGCTTGTACATTCATCCCTAGGGTCATGGATTTTGACTAGTCCCTTTTGAAATGGTTTAGGGTTGATGATCATGTTGTCCTGAGGTGTTATCCAAGCTGGTTGTCTCAGGACCAAGAAAATTAAAGATTAATGTGAGGCTGGGCATGGTGGCTCACACCTGTAATCCCAGCACTTTGGGAGGCCAAGGCGGGCGGATCACCTGAGGTCAGGAGTTTGAGACTAGCCTGGCTAACATGGTGAAACCCCGTTTCTACTACAAATACAAAAATTAGCCAGGCATGGTAGCGTTCGCCTGTAATCCAAGCTACATGGGAGGTTGAGGCAGGAGAATCGCTTGAACCTGGGAGGTGGAGGTTACAGTGAGCCAAGATCATGCCATTGCACTCTAGCTTGGGCAAGAAGAGTGACACTGTGTTTCAAAAAAAAAAAGAGATCAATGTGAACACAGGGGTGAAATTGGAGTTAATGAAGAAAGCTCTCTGCAGCAGAAAGGAGGACTTGAGTGGGTTGCTGTATGGGAAACTCCCCTGATCTCTGTAGTTGTTTGCATAACTTCCCTTATCTGTGAAGCTGTCTGTGTAACTCTACTTATCTGTGCAGCCTTGGGCATGTCTTGGGTAAACACAAAGTGCAGCTTCTCATTTGTATAACTATTTTACAAACGAGGTTTGTTTTAGGTAAGCCTCCCCTCTGCTCACTGTGCAAGTTCTCACCAAGCCCACTGCATATATGCCTGAGAAGGGGAGGAACCTTTTCCCTGGTAGCCTGCTCATCACTGAAAGAACAAAAGGCTTCTCTGTTGGGTCCCTCCTTCTTATCAGTGCAGGTACAGTTTGGTTTTTCCCCAGGCAGCTCTATTTGTACCTGTAGCTGTGATTTTTCAGGCTTTCCTTGAGGACTAGCCTTAGCTGTCTGCCTAACTGATTTTTCCTTTTCTTCTCCCTCACATTCTTGGGCCCAACTTTCTGTTTTTCATGTTCTTCTCACTTCACTTACTAGTTCTTGACTTCTTCTCTTGCTGTTAGCTGATTCCAGAAATCTTTTTGTCTAAAGAGTCATGATTATAATACTTCAGATGAACTGTGGCTTTTCTGTGTAATAATTGGGCATCTCCCAAGCCATTGATGACTGTCATTAAAAATAGCACCAGAATGATTCTGATGAAAGCTTTGTTCACACACCAAACTGTTCCTGTACGTCCTGTGGTCAAGGAGCCTAGGAAGAATAGTCATCTTGCAGCTTGGAAGGTCGACCAGCAGAAGGCCTGGATGAATGTGGCTCAGTACAGGACACCAATTGGGCATCCCACAGTTTAATTCAATTCTGACACTAACTACCTAGAGTTAGCACAGACCCTATAGGGTAAGGGCTCGGTTCCATAAGAGTTTTCCCATTTCAGATGCCAGTTGCAAATTTAGGCCTTCCATGCTTCTGACTGACCAGCTATAAATCAGGGGTTCCCAGAACCCCCTCTTTAGGTTCATAAATTGGCTAGAATGGCTCACAGAACTCAGGAAAAGTCTTTACTGGCGATTATCAATTTATTATAAAGGATGCAAATGAACAGCCAGATGAAGAGGTACACAGGGTGCTGTCCAGAAGGGTCCCAAACGCAAGAGCATTGTTCCCATGGATTTGGAGTGTACCACCCTCCTGGGACACAGATGTGTTCACCAGACTGGAAGCTCTGAAGCCCATTGATTAGGGTTTTTATGGAGGCACTATTATGTACATGGGGCTGATTAAATCATGGACCATTGGTAATTAGCTGAGTCTCTAGTCTCCGCCCAGGTGTGTGCTCCTGAAAGTTCTGACCCTCTAAACCACATAGTTGGTTCCACTGATAGGCAGCCCCCTATCCTGAAGCTATCTAGAGGCCCAGGAACAGTCGCCTCCGTACAAACTCTGGTATGATTGAAAAGGGCATTAGTAACGAAATACTCTCCTGTTAATCTCTGTTGCTCAGGAAATTTCAGAAGTTTTAGAAGCTCTTATACCAGACCAAATTTCATATATATATAAAGTAATGGCAAAAACCACAATTACTTTTGCACCAACCTAATGTGATGTTTTTCTTTTTTCATGGTCGTGTTTTTCTTAGAGCTAGCCTCCCACGTAGCTGGGACTGCAGGTTTGTGCCACCATGCCTGGCTAATGAAAGAAAAAATGTTTCTTAAGAGATGGGATCTTGCTGTGTTGCCCAGGCTGATCTCAAACTCCTGGCCTCTAGCGATCTCACTTTGACCTCCCAAGCTTTAACCCCAAAGCTGGGATTAAAGATGTGAACCACTGCACTGAGTCTTGTTTAAAAAAAAAATTATATATGTGTGTGTGGGGGTGTGTGTGTGTGTATGTATGTATATGTAAAGTATACATTAGATACATTATATATATATGTGTGTATATATATATATATATGTTTATATATATATTTAGAGACAGATTCTTGGTGTGTTGCCCAGGCTAAACTTGAACTCTAGTCTTAAGCGATCCTCTGCCCCTCCCCCCACCCCCGAGTAGCAGGGACTCCAGGTGTGTATCACAGTGCCGGCCATATTTCTTAATCTATGGCAGTATTGTGCTCTGAGTGCTGTCTTGTGTTCCTTTTCTAGCTGGCCTGCTGCTGTGGGTCTGCAGGCTGCTCTCTCTGCTGTGATTGCTGCCCCAGGATTCGGCAGTCCCTGAGCACCCGCTTCATGTACGCCCTCTACTTCATTCTGGTCGTTGGCCTCTGCTGCATCATGATGTCAACAACTGTAGCTCACAAGATGAAAGAGCACGTAAGTTTGTCGGTGTCAGCTCATCCTATTTCCGATGTTCGATGAGGGTGTGTGGGAGACACATGATTTAGAGGATGGGGCCCATGTGCCCCCATGTGTTTTGGGGTATACCTGGTCTCCTTGAACCTTCCTGAAGACTGTTCTGTGCTTTCCAAGATCTAATGCCTTCTGGCTAAACAGGCAAACCAATCAACAGCTTGATCCTTAGTAGTAGTGTAGATGCTATCTGATGCTTTTGGTGTAGAACTTCTTTTTTTTTGAGACAGAGTTTTGCTCTATTGCCCAGGCTGGAGTGCTGTGGCGTGATTTCGGCTCACTGCAGCCTCTGCGTCCTGGGAGCAAGTGATTCTCCTGACTTAGCCTTCCGAGTAGCTGGGATTACAGGTGCACACCACCATGCCTGGCTAATTTTTTGTATTTTTAGTAGAGACAGGGTTTTGCCATGTTGTTGGTCAGGCTGGTCTCGAACTCCTGACCTCGTGATCTGCCTGCCTCGGCCTCCCAAACTGCTGGGATTACAGGTGTGAGCCACCACACTTGGTGAGAATTTTTTTTTTTTTAATTTTTAAATTTTAAAACATTTGTGTAGATTCATGGGGTCCAAGTGCAGTTTTGCTACATTGATAAATTGCCTGTGCTGAAGTCAGGGCCTTCAGTGCTTCCATCCCTGGAGCAACACATGTTGTACCCACCAGGCAGCCTCTCATCATCCACCTCCTATTCAGCCCCATGGCCCCTGAGTCTCCATTGTCCATCATTGGACACATCATTGTCCATCACAATTGTCTGTTTATATCAGATGATTGTGTATTTTATCTTAGCCTTGTTTATAGCTGTTCCTGGTGAAATATACCATCTTTTCTTGTACATTTCCGTGTTCTTTACTGAATCCCCACATGACTCAGTCTTACCCAGCAGGGCCCCATCAGTGCCTGGGAAGGGCAGGCTTCTTTGCTCAGGCACAGTTTGCCAGGAAGAGAGAGCAGCAGGCGTGTTCCCTGGGGGCAGCTCTTATCCTAGAGACAGAGGGAAAGGAAAGCCTTGCTATCCAAATGCCATTTCCCCTTACAAACTGACCACTCCTCACTGCATCTTCCCAGCCAAACAAGTGAGAAGGTGGATGGAAACCTGGAGCAGGCTCTGATGGAGCTGCCCACAGCGGGAATGACATTGCCCAGGGCGATACCTGAGCAGGATCAATCGATCCTCCTGCCTCAGCCTTCTGAGAATTTGGGACTACAGGAGTGAGCCACCATGCTGGCTAATTTTTCTATCAGAAAGAGTAGGCTTCTATTCTTATTCTAAGGGTCCACTTAATCTCTCATGTACTACTTTTGTTTTTTTAAGTAATACAGTATTCTGTTTGTAAATTCAACAAGCTTGAGTTTCTCAATTGATTAAAGTGGCTTGATGATCCTCTGTGGTCCATGGTGGGAACTCTAGTGTGCACGGGTTGTAGCGTGATTCCTGCTCTTCATAAGTTTCTATTCTTAACAGAATTAAGCCTGCATCCAAAAAACCAAAACCTGTTACTATACAAATAGATAGTATCCCTAAGTCGTGAATTTATTGAGACATTGGAGGGAGAAATAATTTGGGAGCCATTGGTATGGGTTTTAGGACATAAATTTCATAATGGTAATATTAACACCTGATTACCATCCAAGTAACCTGCCCCATGAAACAGTGTCTAGCAATTCCAGTCAGTATTTATGCTTTCCGACTGTTACAGAACATTTGAGAATCAGAATATGTTGACTGGTATTGCTAGGAAAGGCTTCATGAAATAAGTGACTTGTATGAGTAATAATAAGTATTTTAATAGCTAATGATTGAGTGAGACCATGTGTCAGGTTTTATTCTGAGCACGGTACCTGTATTTTCTCCCTTCATCAGCCCTGTACTCACCTGAACAGTAGGTGCTATCATTACCCCTGCCCTACAGATGGGGAAACTGAAATATTGGTTTAAGCACCTCACCCAAGACCTGGGATTTGAACCTGGTCTGAATGTGTTCTTAACTACGAGGCTGTGTAACTAGAGAGGAGGAGAGGCACGTGGAGAAGGACTGAGAGGAGAGGGGAGGTGAAATGACCACATCTTGCAGGAACTGGAGTGGCAAGGTGAAGTGTTTGAATGAACATGGTCTGTGGTGAGTGGGAAGCCATTATAGATTCCAGAGCAAGAGGCTATCATCCTGGAAACAGGGAGATATTTTGGGAGGTGAACCTAGAGGTGGTGACGGCAGTGCGCACAGGGTGACTTACGGTCAGAGAACAGAGAGAGGGAGGACGAGAGGGAAGGGCAACCCTGATGCCCCTCCTAGAGGCTCTTATAAGTGTTTCTATGCCTGTCGCCTGAATGTACCTATTTACAAGTGGTTTGGCTGAGTGTCCTGCATAGGGAATGAGATCCCCGTGGGTGAAACCAATCCTTTTGCAGCTTTAGGGCCTCACAGGGGGATGGCCATCTGGCTACAAAGTCGGCTTGTTTCGTGGCCTACAGAAGAGAGGCTGACCTCATCCTCAGGCGGTGCTTGCGAGTGGGTTTTGAAAGGTCCCCTTGTGGGGACGCACACTGGGCTCCTGCTGGAGTCCTCACCCCCTCTTTATTGGCCGGGGAAGTGCCTGAGACTGTGACTGGAAGAGGAGAAAGAGCTGCATGCTTGTAATGGCCCAGATGGGAGTGTGTAAGTGCCTCCCACCCAGCGTTCTGCCAGAGTCGTGTGGGCCTTTGGTATGTGGGTTAAGAGCGCAAGGCCAGCTCCCTTGTCAGTTACTCCAGTTTTTGCCTTGGTTTCAGAGTGTGGCCTGTGTTTAGTCTGAGTAAGAGGGGACTGCAAGGGATGCTGGGCTAGACTTTGTCCTGCTTCTTTTCTTTAGGGAAACTCCTCTTTCCCAGGAGAACTTTGGCTCAGAGAAAGCTTGACTGCTGGTTGAATAAGGCATGATTCTGTCTTCTCTTGGAGCATTTCCCCATCTCAAAACATGAGGGTTATTTGTTTTGCAGGTCATTCTTGTCATTAACCATGTAATTTAAGCAGGTACAGACTCATGAGATTTGATCCCTGGGGGATCGAAAATCCATTTTAGAATGTAGAATTCAAAAGGTAAAAAAGTGGGCAAGAAAGTAAAGCTTTCCAATCCAAACTGCTAAGTCAAGGTGTAACTTCTGTGTTTGAGGCAGATTCAGATTTAGGCACCCTGGGCAGCCACGTGGGTGTTTGGGGAGGGAGGAGAAAGGAAAGTCTGGGGAGTACGGGCCACTAAAACCTGTACTGGAGAAGGAATAATGGGTGACCTATGCAGCCCCAGCCTTTCTCCCCTGAGAGCCCATGTGCTGGGCCAGTGTAGGAAGAGCCTTAGATATTCCCAGCCTCAAACATGTTAGATCTGTTTTCTTCATTCCATGTGACACTCTCCACTCCCTCCCCATCTTTGCCCCAAGCTCCCCAACCCTAGGCAGCCACTAATCTATTTAGTCTCTGTGGATTTGCCTATCTAGACATTTCGTATAAATAGAATCATACACTATATGGCCCTTTGTGCCTGGTTTCTTCTTCTTCTTCTTTTTTTTTCTTGAGCTGGAGTCTCACTCTGTCTCCAAGGCTGGAGTGCAGTGGCATGATCTCAGCTCACTGCAACCTCCACCTCCTGGGTTTGAGCAATTATCCTGCCTCCGCCTCCTGAATAGCTGGGATTACATTACAGGTGCCTGCTACCACACCTGGCTAATTTTTGTAATTTTAGTAGAGATGGAGTTTCACCATGTTGGCCAGACTGGTCTCGAACGCCAAGCTCAGGTGATTTGCCCACTTGGGCCTCCCAAAGTGCTGGGATTATAGGTGTGAGCCACCTCACCTGGCCCATTTAATATGTTTTCAAGGTTCACACTCAGGTTGTAGCATATGTACTTCATTCCTTTAAATGGCTGAATAATATTCCATTGTATGAGTATAACATACTTTATTTTTATTTTTATTTTTTGAGATGGAGTTTCACTCTGTCACCCAGGCTGGAGTGCAATGGCGTGATCTTGGTTCACAGCAGCCTCCACTTCCCAGGTTCAAGTGATTCTCCTGCCTTGGCCTCCTGAGTAGCTGATATTACAGGAACACACCACCATGCCCAGTTAATTTTTTGTATTTTTGGTAGAGACAGGGTTTCACCATGTTGGCTAGACTGGTCTTGAACTCCTGACCTCAAGTGATCCGCCTGCCTTGGCCTCCAAAAGTGCTGGGATTATAAATATACATATAACATATTTTATTTATCCATTTGTCAGTTGATGGACATTTGGGTTGTTTGTATCTTATTGGCTATTATAAATTATGCTGCTATGAACATTCATGTACTAATTTTTGCATGGATGTATGTTTTCATTTCCTTTGGGTTTATACCTAGGAGCGGAATTGCTGGATTGTGGGGTAACTGTTTAAGCTTTTGAGGAACCACCATATTGTTTTCCAAAGTGACTACATCATTTTCCCACCAGTAACGTGGGACATTCAGGATGAAGTCATGTATGAAGGTACGCATTTCTTCACACCCTCACTAACACTTAATGGTACATCTTTTTTATTTTAGTCACTATAGTGTGTGTGAGGTGGTTATCTCCTCTCTGCCTGTGCCTCTAACACTGCCCTCTGCCCTTCCTATTTGCTTGCTTTCCCCCGGGCAACTTGTTCATAGTTCTGGCTTTGATTATCGCCATATGTGCATCTGCTTGTAAAGACGCCCTTCACACAGGACAGTGCTGAGGACACCGATAGATTCTTTCTCCCAGCATCCCTCCTTTTCTAGATTGTGTGCTGACTACATACTTTTTCCAAGGCAGGTCATAAAAGTCTTAGGCTTCCATTCTGCATTCCAGTCAGTCACTATGATTCACCCACGCCCCCCTCCCTGGTGTTGTATATTCCATTTGCCTTGTTTGAACTTGGGTAGCTCCCAAATGTCCCCAGCTGCCCTCAGGCTTCTTTCTCCAGATAACTTAGCCTG